GCATTAACGTGGCATCGATTCAAGAACATCTTTGAGCATTATGCATTAGCTACGTGGCACACGTGGCTAAATTCTCGATGAAAAGGTGACTTCACGTGTGCTCAAAGATGTTCTTGAATCGATGCCACGTTAATGCCACGTCAATTTCTGCAATTGCACAATTTCTGGTCATTTGAGCAGGGTCAACCCTGCGTTGCGCAAAGAACAACGAGGGGGTCGTATTCAGCCGACCGAAAAGGGAGGGGGTCGTATCCACAGACGGGCTGCAAGACGGCTTGAAAAGTGCAGTGTCCGGGAGTGCACTTTCAGCCTCTAATGTTCTCCAGGAGCTCTGCACGCTGTCGGAGAGTCACACAGACATGAGCTCCATGGGAGCATTAAAGCATGCAGAGCACTATAAGTCTCACCATCAGCTTATTATCCTTAATCGACGCTATCCGGACGCGCTTTTGCTCCGCGGCATAGATCAAGAGTACAATAGACAATAGCCAAAAACTTTGTTACAGTGTAGTGCAAAAACATGGTCTGTCTTCGATGATGAAACATTCCTGAAATCCCGAGGAGTAAGCAGTTCATGGGAAAGTGAAACAAGAGTGCCATATAACAGCGGAGGGCGGAGAGGAACTTACAGGGATACTAACACCTTTCTTCAGGAAAACAGAAGACTTTCAAATGCGAGTGCGAACTCTGCCCACAGATAGGTGCACGGCGTATACCCGAGGCGTTTTCCCATAAAAACGCCTCCTCTGTCAGCGGCCGTAAGCAGACAAACTTTCTGAAGAGAGTTTCGATGCTTTCAAATAAAATCTAAGCGAAACAAAGTGTAGCGAATTTGCTGAATTGAGTTCTAGAGACGCCGTAGGAAAATTGAGGCAGAAGAAGGAATTTCAGGGAAATTTCACAGTTGTTATGAAGTACTCTTCGAGTGGATTCCAACAATCTTTACCGCTTCTCATCACATTTCAAAGGAAGTTATTTGGGGGCCTTTAAAGACTGCATAGTCGCGGTCCAGGAAAAAGGCTTGAAAAAAATCAAGGTGGAATTGACGGAACAACGGGACTATTTTTTGAGCGAGTGATTATTTCAAGAAGTTTTAGCACTTATTCGAAAGCTCTAATCCTCTAGTTTCTAATTAGCCTTAGACATCTGCAAAATGTTGAGTATGAAGAAAGTTATTAACGTTTGAATGTCGAAAACTCGCGCCTTCTCAAAAATCGGACCCCAAACCACCCAAGAACGGAACAACGGGCACTATTTTTTGAAAAAATGATCGCTGGAAAATTTTCAGGTGCTTTTTTGATGTGTTTGTGTGGGTGGTTGGTGTGGGGGGGGGTGCTTGTTCGAAAGCTCTAATCTTCTAGTTTCTAATTAGCCTTAGACATTTGCAAAAAGTTGATTATGAAGAAAGTTATGAATGTTTGAATGTCAAAAACTCGCGTGTGCACAGAAAACGGAACAACGGGACTATTTTTCGAAAAATGACCGCTGGAAAATTTTCAGATGCTTGTTCTAAAGCTCTAATCTTCTAGTTTCTAATTAGCCTTAGACATTTGCAAAAAGTTGATTATGAAGAAAGTTATGAATGTTTGAATGTCAAAAACTCGCGTGTGCACAGAAAACGGAACAACGGGACGATTTTTTGAAATACTGAACATCCACAACATTTCAAATACTCCTCAGGAAGAAAACTATTTATATTTTTAAAATTTTGGTGTCCGATTTCATGAAACAGCTTGAAAGAAAATATAACCTTCTGAATGGAGGGGTTTGGATTGCAATGTAATTGCTACAAGGTTTAGTTTTTCAGATTATAAGGTAAGGAAAGTTGAGAGATCGAAAAAATCCTGGTGGGTTTCTGAAAGTAGAAATCTTTACGATTAAAATGATGTATTGGTTTACGCAAAAATTTGGAAATTCCTTCTATTTAATGAATAAAACTTCATTTGCCTCGATTTCCTCCTCTGAGCGAGACAGAAGCGCGCGGATTGACCACGGTCCACCACTTCTCCATGTTGGTGACTGCCATCATTGATGAGCATTGATGAGCATTAAATTATGTGAAAGACATGATAGTTAATATGGGGGGTCGTACCGATACCCCGAAAAGGAAGGGGGTCGTAAAAATTTGGGAATTTGCGCAACGCAGGTTGACCCTGTTTGGAAGCAGAGGGCACCTCGTTTCGGGTGCGGATAGAGGTCCCCTTGGCGCGCGCCCGCAGCGAGGAGCGTCAGCACGTGCTAGGACACGCTGCGGCTTCATGTCCTTACACGGGTGTTGGAACGTGAGCTACTAGCTAGGATAAAGCAAAAAATGCAGAAATGGGACTTAGCCAGACAGAACAAGTCCTGGATTGTATCAAGAGCGGCATTCTGCTTGGCATTGCCATGTTTCCGACTGCGCAGAACGCCGGCGACGGTCGCGCGCAATTGATCTATGTAGCGGCGGCTGGTCGCGGGGCACTCGTGACCGTCTCCGCTGTTTGGCCATGTACACGACGGAAATACAAAATATAAGTACTTGTCTAAAAAGGTACGAAAGCAATGACTCACACTTTCAGGTATGTCTCTACGTTCAGCTTGATTCTTCGCACACTGGGTCTCATTTCGGGACTTGTGTTCCAACAATCTAATATGAGACTGGTTAGATCCATGTTCAAAACCTGAAAGGAAGTGGTTTCAAACGTGGGCTTGGCATAGTTAGCGCCACAACAAGTAATTGAGTCACAGCCACCTTATTAGTTTGGATTTGAGGTTTGACGACCTTGCTTCCATCCTTGATGGATTCGACGAGCGCTGCAAAATAGCACGAATCTGCTCCTATATAAGGGCAAGGATTGAAAGCAGATAATTGATGCATATATAATAAAGTAAACAAGTCTAACATACTTTACAAACTTCTGTTTGGAAGCCACTGCAAAGATCACGTACGCTTTTGGACGGCGAAGAAATGAAAAAATGCAAGGCTAGCGTAATACGCTCCTTGATAGAAACGAACGCTGATTTTCCACTATTTTTGCTGCATGTTTGTTGAGAGTATACTGTGGGCAGTACATACAAAAAATTCGGTGCATACACTATACAGTAATTAAAAACGCACCCTGCGTGTCTGTATGGTCAGGAAACGGTAGTGCTCGAAAGATGATCTCGTACATAATGATACCAAACGGTAAAGTGGCTCCGAGCGTGTCTTCGTACCTTAAAAATGTTGATGTATAGGTAATTTTATTCTGACTGGTATCAAAAGAAGTTGGTATTCTCTGGATTCAAAGCCAGAATGCTGTTGTAGGGGATCAGCGCTCACTAGTTGATGCAGCTTCATCAATATTAGATCTCAATGTCCAATATAAAAAAATTGGTAGTAGGGTTAAATACGATCAAAGGCAGCGCTGCCTGCCAGAGGATCAGCCACGATCTTCTGAATTAAAGGGTCACGGCAATGTGTACAAGAGAATCTTCTTCTTCTCCTTAGCGTTAGTCCCGCGCAGTCGCAGGGTCCGCTGTCTTTGTCAGTCGTCGCCACTTCGCTCTGTCTAGGGCATCTCCTGCAGTGGCCGTGATTTCACCTAGGTCCTTCTTGATCACATCCTTCCACCTCTTCTTTGGGGCTCCTCGCGGTCGCTTGCCTTGCACTTCGAAGTCCATCGCATTCCTTATCGGGTGGCCTTGCGGTCTTCTCAGCACATGCCCATACCACCGCAGTCGTTGTTCCCGTACCTTCAGCTGGACAGGGGCAGTCTGCATGACCGCTCTGACATCCTCGTTCCTGACCCTATCCAGTCGCGTCCAGCCGCAGGCCCACCTCAGCATCCTCATCTCAGCGGAGTGAAGCTGCCTTTCGTGATTCTTGTTCAGGGGCCAGCACTCGCTGCCGTAGAGCATCGCAGGCCTTACCACTGTTCGGTACACCTTCCCTTTGAGCGCTCTGGAGCACCTTCGGTCGCAGAGGATTCCAGTGGACTCCCTCCATTTCATCCATGCCGCGTTGATCCTCCCCATTACTGCCTGGTCCACACTGCCGTCGGCCGCCAGATCACTCCAAGGTATATCGGAAGTCCTCTACTCTTTCGATGCTTTCACCATGCCCGTCCATGATCGGCTCTGCACCCTCTTCAGAACTCAGGAACTTGGTCTTCTTGACATTCAGCCGTAGTCCGCCTTCTGCCAGGACCTTCTGCCATTGCTGCACCTTGGCCTGTAGTTCCTCTCTACTATCCGCTATCAGGGCGATGTCGTCTGCGTAGAGGATGGTCTTTAGCGGTCCTTCCATGAGCCCTTTCACCAGGACATCTAGTGTCAGGAGGAAGAGGAACGGGCTCAGAGCCGACCCTTGGTGCACCCCAACCGTGATGTCCACTTCCTTCGTTAGGCCGTGTGGGGTGCGTATAGCTGCCTTCGCCCCATCGTACATATCCTTCACCAGCGAGACCAGGTGTTCTGGCACGTTCCGTTCCCTAAGCGCTCTCCATAGTACCGCTCGTGGTAGCCGGTCGAACGCCTTCTCCAGGTCGAGGAAGGCTAGGTAGCAGGGTCGGCGCTTTTCTCGATACTTCTTCCATCACTTGCCTTGCGATGAAGATGGCATCCGTTGTAGACCTTTCGGGCATGAACCCGAACTGTTCCTGGGAGATCGGGACCAGCTCCCGCAGTTTTCGAGTCGACCAGTCGCTCGTACAGCTTCATGGTATGCGCAGTCAACTTGATCCGCGGTAGTTGGAGCAGTCCATCGCGTCACCCTTCTGCTTGAAGATGGGGGACGATAGTGCTTGTTCTCCAGGCATCTGGCATCCTTCCTTCCGCAGTTATGTTGTTGAGGAATCGTGTGAGCCATCCTATCCCGTAGTCACCCAGCGCCTTCCATGCCTCAATTGGCACCCCATCTGGACCAACCGCCTTCCCAACCTTCATTTTTGCTACTTCTCGACTAACCTCATCCTCTGTCCACAGTGCGATGGGGCCAGACGTTGCCTCTGCTTTGCGAGCTTTGTGGGGGAACTCCTCGTTCAGGAGCGTTCTTGTAGTACTCCTCCCACCTCTCCTCAGACTTCAGTTGGCTTCTACAGGATGACGCGCACTGGTCGGCAGCGCTCGTTCAAAAACTGCCTTTCACACTTTTCACCACCCTAATGTCTTGGGTAGCCCGATGCCGGGCTTTGGCCAGTCTGAAGACGAACTTCTCTGCGTTTCTGCTTTCCAACTTCTCGTACAAGGCGTCCATCTCCGTGTTCTTCGCCTTGGCTACGGCGGCCTTAGCGAGCCTCTTGCAACTCCTGTAGGTAGCGAGGTCTTCGGGGCTCCGGGTCTTCTGCCAGCGCTTGTATGCTTCCTTCTTCTGCTTCACGACTCGCTGGACCTCCTCGTTCCAGAACCACGCTGCCTTGTCTCCTCTGATTCCACCTCGGGTCTCGCCCAGTACCTCCTTGGCACATCGCAGGATGGTCTCAGCCGTCTTGCTCCATGTTCGCTGTATTGGCCCGTTAGGATTTGGGAGACCAACTTCCATTATCCTTCGTTTGAGGTCATCTTTCTCCGCTTGGTGCAACTTCCACCACCGGATTCTCCGCTCGGTTCTAACCCTTGTCTTCTTCGGGAGGTCCATGGCAATGTCTGCCAGGAGGGGCCTGTGCTGCGGAGCCAATTCCTCGCCAGGGAGTACCTTGATGTCTTTTACCGATCTCAGGGATGATCTTCTTACGAGCACATGGTCGATTTCCGTATGTCGTCCCCCACTGCTGTAGGTCACCTTCTGAGTCTCCCTTTTCGCGAAGAACGTGCTGCAGATTGCCAGATCGTGGGCCGTAGCCAGGTCCAGGACCCTCTCTCCCTCGGCGTTCCTCACTCCTATCCCTCTACCTCCGTGCACCCTTTCCCGGCCTCTCCTGTCACTGCCGACGTGGCCATTCAGATCACCTGCTATGGTCAGGTAATCGCCTTCCGGAATCGTTCTTATGGCTTCGTCCAGGCTCAGGTAGAACTCGTCCTTCTCACTGTCGGGGCATCCTGTCTGCGGCGCGTACACCAGTACCCCTCCTTCGTGTCTATCCTCACAGCCATGATCCGATCGCTGATCCTGTTCACAGCGGAGACATAGTCCTTGAGCGACTCCGCTACCGCTATGGCCACACCGTTCCGCTTGGTGTCTTCTCCATTGTAGTAGAGTTTGACACCTTCCCCGATTTCCCTGGCCTTAGCGCCTTTCCATCGCGTCTCCTGAAGGCATAGGACTTGGATATTCCTGCGCGTCATCAGATCAGCAACCTCTCGGGACTTCCCAGTTAGCGATCCTACGTTCAGAGTCCCTATTCGAACTAGCTTCTTTGGCCGAGGCCGTTCACTCCTCGGTAGCCCTCGCATACTGACCACAGAACTCGGGCGGGGGTTCTGCGCGCCACTTCCGGGTGACGTCCTAGCTTTATCACTGATATCTTTTTCGACTTTAGACATGTTTTGTGTGACTGGGGTGTTCATCAGCCGGCCTGTCAACCTGGGCCTGACGCTGGTACTAGAACCATTTTTGCAATTTTTGCAAGGCATGGTTTAGAGCCTCGGCAGGGATCGAACTCGCGGTTTTTCGGAGGTGCAGACATGAGTCTAACCTCTTAACCACTCGGCTATCCCTGCCTCAAGAATTTCAGAGAATCAGAGGGTCCCCTCAATAAACTCGGCGTAACTTAGCGTTGTGCTTCATTGCCCGCAATAAGTTACCCTTCTCCCTGCACAATGTTCGCAACCTGGAAAATAGGTGTTCAGATACATTTATCAGCAGGGTCGTCCACAGTAGTTCTTGTCAATGTAGTATATTTTGGCAAGCTGCCTCCAACCCGTCGAGTTTTCTTCGTGAATTTCCGTCCAGCACTACACAACTTGAGCAGTAATAGGAGATAGTTGCTGCTCGGTGTCCGCTTACTCAGTTCGCCTTACGCGAACACTGATGACCTTTTTTCCCGGTGAAGTGAACTATTAATGCATACGCCTTAGAACATTATTCGAGTTTCCAAGAAAAAATGAGATATCTCTGAGCGGATGGGACGCCCTTGAAAAGGTGCAGCAAAGGTTCCTCTTGCAAATTTCCAGTTAACGTCTGCCCTGGATTTGAACACAGCCGGGCCGCGACCAAGGAAAAATGGATATCAACATTTCGACGTACTTTATAACTAAGAAACAGTTGACGTCGCACGCTATTGGTGCACCCCCTCCCCAACTTGGTGGTGATATGGATGATGCTGTCGGAATTTTCCAAATTAACCGGATCGCCCACGAAGATTTGACACTACACACGACAAGACTCTATCAGTTTTTCTCGGTCTCCGTGACATTTCTGGACGGTACGGCAATTTTGGATTTTAGAGCAATAAATGTACCTTTCTCGCGCTCACTGAGCTCTTAATCTGACTCTTTCCTCCTTGTTCACTTTGAAGCATGCACCGCCCACCAGTAGCATTTGAACTTCTTCCCTTCTTTAATTTCTACCAACTCTTTTCCTGATTTCTAGGAGTTCTTTGAACCGAGTTGTAAGTCTGCTAGCAATCCGCCAAGTTTAATGCACTCCAGACCCACCACCAAAATTTGTCCTTTCCTCCTTCATTAACCTCTGCCCACCTTTTCCCTTTCTCTAAGGCTTCTCGTTACCGGATTATGAGGGCGTGTAGAGAACGCTGTCCACTCAAAGACACACGCCGCCCATTGTGGGCGAACCCCCGCTGAAACACCTCAGGCTTTCCTATATCAGTTTTGCTGCTCTGTAGGCTTTCTCCCAGCCGATTTATGAAATTTTTCATAAAGCACTGCTTTTTTAGAGAACGCCCCGCCCACCGGGGGTGGGTCTCCCTAATTCGATCTGGCTTACCAATGCACACCTTTACCCATTTTGTTCCGGTCTTCCGGAAATCAAATTTGAAATTTCGTCATTAGTACCGCTCATTTCGATGCGCACCACATTCGATATCGGCGGTTCTGCTGTACGATTAGCTGTTGTGAGTTTTGTACTTCTTTGGACATGTACCACCCCCACCCCCACACATATGACCAAGTTTAGCCAGGTAGTGCTGAATTTCTTAAGGGACACCGTGACAGATGAACAGACGAGGCACTTCACAGTAAGAAGGTGGTTTGCCGAAGCTTACAATTTCAAAAAATGATTAACCTGCGATTGTTT